TTAAAACACACACACACACACACACACACACACACACACACACACACACACACACACACACACACTCGAGTCTATGTTCATTTAATTTGCTTTCTCTAGAACAGACAGGAAAAACCGATAAGCCCATTTAAATGATCTGAGCTTTGGAAAGTTCTTCTCAGGACAGATTTCTCTCTCGAGATAGTTAAAGGAATAATTTAACCCCAAATTTCTCACTCTCATGTTCCAAATTCCAAACGATTTTCCACGCAACACAAATCAAAATGTTTTGCACAACTTTCTAACTATTCTTTTCCATGCAATGAAAGTAAACGGGGATGCAAAGCTCCCAAAATACAGACTTGTGCACTATATTCCAAGTCTTCTTTAGTTTTATGTTTGTATGTGAAACTGATATTCAAGTCAATATTTAAAAAAAAATGTATTAAAAAGCTCTCAAATTTGCAGATATTCAAATATGGCGCATTAAGACAGTGACAACAAACATTATTAGTTTATGAATGCAACTGGTGACAAAACATCAGTGTAGTTTGACGTGAAAGACATCTGATAAAGTTACCTTTTAACTGCATGGACAAAAACATGGACATTTTGCAAGAAAGGAAGAAAGAAACGACGATGAGAAATGACAACAAAAGCTCATTTTTTGGGAGGTGAAATGTTCCATGAAGTCTCAAACTTTAACAAAGAGTGTCAAATTCAGCATACCATTATAAGTGTGATTCAAAGAATAGTGTCGCAAACATATGTCTTACAAGCTACTTAAGCAATAAAGAAATGAAATTTGATCATTCAGAAGGGGAAAAAGATCCCAAAACCTGACATTCCTGACAGGTAATCAGATATGGGAGTGAAGCAGAGTATTTCCCCAGGTGAGGCTGGTAAATTCTCAGGTAACTTCTTCCTTTTTGATCAGATTCAGGTCACAATCGTATTGAGATGATTAGATATGATCCAGGATTGCGCCACGTGTGTGTGTGTGTGTGTGTGTGTGTACAGATACACAAACCCATGAACAACAGCTGTCTCTCACTAAACACACATTATTAGCATAACAAGTTCTGAGACACAGCATACAGTATATGCAACATATGTAAGATGTATACGAGCGGAGTGTTACATATTATACATGAACACGTTATAAAAACGCCAAAATGTAAGGCTTAATTAAATAAACGCGTTGAGAAGACATTATCAGACTGTTAACGTCACACTTTGTTGAGTTTAACGCATTAAACAAAACTTTACAATAACATTCGCACTTACCAAATCAGTGTTCTGAACGTTTGTTGATCTCTTTTGGGTGTTCTTTTCCGAAAATATCAAACCAGCTCAGAACAAGTGCAAGTGTGTGGTACTTTTGAAGCGATGGACACTTTGTTTCCTAAAGTTGCTCCCGCACCCACATGAAGCCCGAGTGCGTGTGACGCAACACTTCCCGTGCTTAGCTCATGAATATTAATTAGGCAGCGCTGACGTTGCTTCCTGGAGAGACCACCAGTAACGTAATTAATATTATAATGAGTCCAGCCTCCACTATGCAAATCGTCTGCCTTTCAGCCAATCAGAAAGGATCATCTGTTGAACGTCACGTTGCGTGCTTAATATTCATGAGCTAAGCATTCGCCATAGTAGGACGAGCTCCTCTGCGCCACTTCTTCTGTTCAGAACGCACGAAAATAAGCTTTAAATTGATTTAACTAGTGGTTTCTGCACCTAAAATATTGTTTTAAATAGGTACAAGTTGTGCAACAGGCTCTCGAGCGCTTTCAAAGCTGTAAGTGGGTGTGTACTGACATCTGGTGGTGTAAAATGTCAAAGGTACATGATCATTTACATTGTTAAAAACAATCTCTGGTTCTTAATATAATGTGTTGCCTGCTTAAGCATTAATGAATGTTTGCACATTATGTAAGAGATAATGAATGAGTCTCAGCATCATATAAACACTGTTGAGAAAAGCTCATGTTATACCTCGTTATTAATTTTATTTGTATAATTATATTTGAATTTGTTTTGTAATTATTATTTTTAAATTTTATATATTTTTTAACTTAAATTTTTCTTACTGGGAACTTTTTTTAATTATATTTTTTATTTGTTGATTTTTAAGGATAAACATCTTGCAGATTCTGCAGGGATGCAAGCTTAATTTAATATTTTTTTTTTATAATTTTCATTTTGTAACTTTTTAAAAATGTTATTACCAATACTTATTTTTTTACATTTTTATTTATTTTGCAATGATAAACATCTTGCAGATTCTGAAAGTATGCGAGCTTAATTTAATAACTTTATTTTTAAATGTTACCATTTTTAATTTTTTATTTTATTTATATATATATGTGTGTGTGTGTGTGTGTATTTATATATATATATATATAATTAATTTTAATTAAATAATTTATTTTATAATTTAATATATTCAAATTATATTTAAATTTAATTATTAAATTAATTATATATATATATATATATAATTAATTTTAATTAAATAATTTATTTTATAATTTAATATATTCAAATTATATTTAAATTTAATTATTAAATTAATTATATATATATATATATATAATTAATTTTAATTAAATAATTTATTTTATAATTTAATATATTCAAATTATATTTAAATTTAATTATTAAATTAATTATATATATATATATATATAATTAATTTTAATTAAATAATTTATTTTATAATTTAATATATTCAAATTATATTTAAATTTAATTATTAAATTAATTATATATATATATATATATAATTAATTTTAATTAAATAATTTATTTTATAATTTAATATATTCAAATTATATTTAAATTTAATTATTAAATTAATTATATATATATATATATATAATTAATTTTAATTAAATAATTTATTTTATAATTTAATATATTCAAATTATATTTAAATTTAATTATTAAATTAATTATATATATATATATATATAATTAATTTTAATTAAATAATTTATTTTATAATTTAATATATTCAAATTATATTTAAATTTAATTATTAAATTAATTATATATATATATATATATAATTAATTTTAATTAAATAATTTATTTTATAATTTAATATATTCAAATTATATTTAAATTTAATTATTAAATTAATTATATATATATATATATATAATTAATTTTAATTAAATAATTTATTTTATAATTTAATATATTCAAATTATATTTAAATTTAATTATTAAATTAATTATATATATATATATATATAATTAATTTTAATTAAATAATTTATTTTATAATTTAATATATTCAAATTATATTTAAATTTAATTATTAAATTAATTATATATATATATATATATAATTAATTTTAATTAAATAATTTATTTTATAATTTAATATATTCAAATTATATTTAAATTTAATTATTAAATTAATTATATATATATATATATATAAAATGGTGGAATCTTTTTGTTTATTTGCAGACTCAATAAGGCATTTTATTAAGGATCTTTTAGTGACACCATTTCCAAAGTATATGGAAATAACAAGCATTTAACACCGGCACATTCAGACTCTTGTTTGACGTCAGTCTTTGGTCGCAGACGCATCTTGCTGTGCTTGTTGGCTAGCTTCCGCTCTCTGCTCCTCTGGGTCAGGCTTGAGGTCTTGATCTGGTGCAGCTGGAGGTTTTCTGGGTGCCTCAAATACAGGCCTGTAGATATACACACCTCCCAGCACTCCAACCAGAGTAGCAAATGCAATCTGATTAAAGGGAATCCGCCTTCCAAACATGATCTTCTGTTATGAGAAACAAAACATCCCACTGATGAAAAGAAAGAAGACAGAAGAAAAGTTTATGAAATGTAATTGTACTCATGGCATTTTGTAGATCATATATTGTGTTGTATGCCTGCTGTTTACAGTCTTTTGAGTATGCATAAATTAAGTACACACTACACAAATACTAGCATACGGATGATGCAATTCAATAACATTCAACACATGCATATCTTAATTTTTTGTAATTAATATTTCTACTCACCGAGAGGTTTTCAGTCTTTCATTATAACTAAGAAGTGTGCACTAGAGTAAAACACATGCAGACAAGGACGAACGAACGACTACGGCAACTCGCGCAGGCCAAATGCGACGCATTTAACATTTTTTTATTTTTTTCAACATATATTTATAAGACGACGTGTCAGAACCCCTTTATATAAATCATGAAACACGTTTAAATTAGCTTAAAATTATTAAATGTTTAGCGTTAAAAGTCTGTTGTTGTGTCCTCATTACATATTCATGAGGTCCTGCGCGACGTCACCACCCAAACGCGGAAATAAACCTCGTTTCCACGTTCAAGTCTCAGTAAATGCGCCTGAAAATGAACACACGCGGCTGGAGTTAAAATGCAGACGTGTGAACCCCACCAGAGGCTCATGTGGAGACATGGAGAAGATTCGAGAGCGATTCAAGCAGAAGAAGTCCTGTGAATCAGCGAGACTGAGGAAGAGGAGCTCCATTCTCTACAGCACAGATGCCAGCCAGCCTCAAACACTCAGTGAGAGCTACTTTACAGCTAAAGGTGTTTTCATGAGAAGACAACAAGTCATATTTACTCATCTTTAAACAATACTAACAGAAAATAGAATAAGTCAGGACCTGTAAACGTGAATATTCAGATTTCCTTGAGTACTGTCAATTTAATTAATCTTAATATCTGAAGCAATTTTGTGTACATCTTATTTGAAATTATTAAATTAATCACGAAACAGAAATAAAATACCGTTCAGACAAGTTCGGGTAACCCAAAATCAAAAGATATGAGACTATGCATTTTATTATTTAGGACAATTGTGACATTATTATTATTATGACAATTAAGTAGATTTTCCCCACAAAAATTTTCATTTCCACTTGCTAAAAAATGTAAAATGTATATTTAAATGGTGTTTTATTTCTTAATATAAATTTTAATTGTATTTATCATATAAACTATTACTTTTCAGTTGAAATTTATCAGTCATGGTAGTATGTCTTGCACTGAAGTTATTCATAAAATGTATTTATGCACTTATTTTAATCATAAAAACTGTAATATGTAATTTTTTTTCTGCATTTTGTCAATTTTCTAAGTATATTTTCCCCCTAAATTCTCATTGCTGCCTAATAAAATTGTATTTATCATATTTATTGCATTTAATTGTATTTAAACTGTACAGTATTTATCAAAGATGATAGCTTGCAATGAATTTAATATGCTGTTAATGAGAATTTGGGGAATGTATATATCTAATAAGACTCAAACTTGAACCAAAATGAAAAGTAAAACAGCATTATATAATTATTAATCAGCATTATATTGGCCATCAGCCATTAAAACACACTGACCACTAATATCCACACATGCTAATATTAGAAATGTGCTCTATGTGAATTCTGCAGAATTCTTTGGCATCAGCATCACCGTGTTCACGGTCATATTCCGCCTGCTCAGCTGCGTTCTGGTCCAGACCAGCTTCGTCCCGGATGAGTACTGGCAGTCGCTGGAGATTCCCCATCGAATGGTCTTTGGATATCCTTGTTCATGCACCGAGCTGTAAAATTAGTTTAGCTTGAATATAATACTCAAATTAGATCCTTAACATATATCTCACTTACGGCTACGAGACGTGGGAATGGAAGGAAGGCATGCGGGGATATTCTTATCCTCTCCTGTTCGCTCTGATGTACAAACTCCTGCATCTGATGAACTATGACACGGTTTATTTATTGGTGAGACTTCAGTGCATTATATGGACGGCGGGTCTGATTGTTCTCTAACACGAATACCGGTTCCTGCAGGTGTTTGTGCCGCGTGTTTTCCAGGCGCTGCTGGCTGCATATGCCGAAGTGAAGCTGTACAACCTCGTCCTGCGGTGGGAAACTCCAGATGTGGCCAAATGGACAGTAAGATGACAATCTTAAAGGAATGGTTCACCCAAAAATGAACAATTGCTGAAAATGTACTGTCCAAGATGTAGATGAGTTTGATTCTTCATCAGATTTGGAGAAATGTAGCATTGCATCGCTTGCTCAGCAATGGATGCTCTGCAGTGAATGGGTGCCGTCAGAATGAGAGTCCAAACAGCTGATTAAAACATCACAGTAATCCACACCACTCCAGTCCAGCAGTTAATGTCTTGTGAAGACAAAAGCTGAAACAAATCCATCATTAAGATGTTTTTAACTTCAAACCATTGCTTCCTGCTAAAACACGAGTCCATAATCCATAATAACGCGTCCTCCAGTGAAAAAATCCATCTTCTGTTCTCCTCTCACATCAAATCAAACCACGTATTTGTTTAGAGCTGTTTTGGCTTGTAAACGGTGCTTGATCTGTGCAGATTTCTCTCCTGATTCAGACCAGACGACATTTTCACTGTATAAAACATTATTATGGATTGAGGACTCATAATCGGACATTTTGAAGTTAAAAATGTCTTAATGATGGATTTGTTTCAGCTGCTTTTGTCTTCTCCAGATGTGGACTGCTGGACTGGAGTGGTGTGGATTATTGTGATGTTTTTATCAGCTGTTTGGACTCTCATTCTGACGGCACCCATTCACTGCAAAGCAAGTGATGCAATGCTACATTTCTCCAAATCTGACGAAGAAACAAACTCATCTACATCTCGGCTGAACTGAGGGTGAGGACATTATCAGCCAATTTCAATTTTTAGGTGAACTATTCCTTTAAGATATTAGGCAGATACACAAACCCCGCATTAATTTGAATGCTTTTGTGTTGGTTTGACGCTGTGTGTTCTGTGTTTTCTGTCAGTATTTCTGTCAGCTGTGTTCATGGTTCACCTGGTTCTGCTGCAGCCGGACTCTGACCAACACCATGGAAACGGTTCTGACCACCCTGGCGCTTTGCTTTTACCCTTTACCCGGCTCCAAAACGCACAACAGGTGCATTATTTAGTGTCATAACTACACACCACTGAGTGCACAAACCTGTTAAAGACTCTTTTTTTCTGCTCTCTCCTCATCAGCTGGAAGTATTTGTCTCTGGTGTCGCTGGCCATCGTTGTCCGTCCCACAGCTCTGATCGTCTGGCTTCCTCTGCTCTTCTATCATTTCTGCATGGAAAAGCACAAGCTGAAGCTCATCACACAGCGATGCTTTCCCATTGCGTAAATGTTGCATTTGTTTCCACTTGTAATTTACAGTCTGGATGACGCTGGCGATAATCTGTGTTGGTCTCCTGTATATTCACTGATGTTTCCGTCATCTGCGCAGGGCTCTTGCATTGGGTGTCTCAACATTAATAGACTCTGTGTTCTATGGAAAGGTATTTTTTTATTTTATTCACATACTTAAATTGTGTATTGTTACTTGTATACTTATAATGTGTTTAGTTCGCCTAAAAAGCCTAAAACAACAAATTTATTTTTCTTTATTTCTAAACACTACCTATTTTGAGTGAAATAGATCATGCTCAGGTCATATTTCAACCCAACAAAAAGATAAACTAGTGTTATTTTAGTATTATTTATATACTATTATAGTATTTATTTAATATTTTAAATTCACTATATACATCAGTTTTCATTTTCACTTTAGTTTTAGAAATTTTTATTAGTTTGTATTTTTAATCGTTTTTATTATTTCTATGTAACTTTTTTTATTTCAGTTTTAGTAATTGCAGCATTTAAACTTTTTGTTTTTGTCTAAATATACTTTTTTTTAACTTAATATTTTATTTTAATTCAGCTTTTTCAACTATTTTTTCCAGCTTATTTTTAATAAACAAAATGTTTTTGTTTTTGTTTTTTTAGGTCATAGTTTTAGTTAATAACAGACATGAATAAGGAACTGCACTTTTCATACAAATAATAAATTATGACGTGTTACTACTAAAAATGTATAGAAGTTTAAAAATATGTTACCAAAAACATAAATAAAAAATTTACATCTGGACGCTTCATGGTAAAACGAATTAGGGAGGAAAATGTGGTTAATTGTCATTATGCAATATTATAATATGTGGGTTAAATATGCACTGGACATGGTCTTTAGTCTTCATGTGATTCCCACTTTTAGATATTTTTAAATAAAAGCAAGAAGCTTTCAGGCATAGACAGAAGTGTGAAGTTCATGTATCATCATCATTACCCTCACGTTGTCTGTATTTCTGAAGTGGATCCTGGTCCAGTGGAACTTCCTGAAGTTTAACGTGCTGCACAATGTGGCCGAGTTTTACGGAGCTCATCCGTGGCACTGGTACTTCACTCAGGGTCTGCCGGTCGTGCTCGGCCCGCACCTTCCTCTCTTCCTGCACGGATGTTCACTGGCTACCAAAAAGCACAGAATCCTGCTGATAACCGTCTTATGGACTACAGCCATTTACAGGTGCACCGAGACACAACACATATACAGAGATAGCATTGGACGAGCATGCAAAAATCTATTTTATTTAGCTCATTAAATGTGTTTTTGCAGTTTGCTTGCACACAAGGAGTTCCGGTTTGTTTATCCAGTGCTGCCATTCTGTATGATATTTAGCGGTGAGTGCATGAACATTTAGCCGTTTGTGTAGATTTGAAAGCGTTCTCAAGGTCTTCACGTGCTTGCACTGACAGGCATGTCTTTAGCGAAGATGCAAGCGTGGAGGAAACCTGCTGCTGCTGCACTGCTGCTCTTCAATCTGATTCCTTCATTATACACGGGTTTAATTCACCAGCGTGGATCTCTGGACGTCATGCATGACCTGCAGCAACTGTGTGACGTCAGCGAGTCTCAGAACTCGCCTGAGCTGCTGTTCCTCATGCCGTGTCACTCCACACCGCTCTACAGGTAACCATCTACATCGAAAATAATTACGGTACTCTTTGAAGTACTTTTTATACTATGGTGCATTAACTCTGTAAAGCCTGGCATATGAAATAATAGAACATTTTTATTTTATTAAATGGAGCAGTTTATTCAAACTTTAGACAAAATCATTTTTAAAAATTGAATATGCATGTGTATCATATTTGATACATCGGGCTTTTATGGCTCATATAGTCTGATATAGTGAGAATATGTAGTAAAAACATCTCAGTGTTATTCAAAGGGCCAAACTGAGCAAAAATATGCAATTTGGTGCAGATGCTGATATTTATAGGGTAAAAGTAAGATGAAATTCTGATGCTTGTAATGTAAATCAGTGAGATCTTTATAACAGTGCAGCAGATAGTTACATAAAATGATATAAATATTATCTCCAATAATATGTCTTAAGATATTTAAGTGCGTAGTTGGTGCACTATAATGCATTATAAAGGAATTCATAATTTATGTTCTAATGCATTATATATTTTCATAAATAATTGTAACTATTGTAATATTTAAAATGCATTTTAATATCTGCAGATTCCTTGTTGCATCTGAAATTGTTTGTCAAGTGTTTCAATGCATTATACATTCTAAAGGTGTGAAAGTGAATAGATAAGAATTATAATGTATTATAACTAGTTATAATTAATTATGAGATCATACATTGCATTATAAGGTGCATTACAAGGCATAATTAATGCATTAAAAATGAATTACAATGCATTATATATGAAGGCTATCACTCTCTTTTATGATCAAAGCTCTGTAGTTTCAAAACATATAATGCAGTGCAGTAACAGTTGAGATGAACAAACAAATGTTCCTTTAAAAGCCTGATGATCAGATTTGATACTTTTGATACTCAGATGGTGAATCAAGTAAACTTAAGCTGCTTCAGTCCAGTAAGTGTTCATCTGGAAATACTACTAACAATATCTTAGGATATTCTTAAGTTTACCTGATAAAAATCAGTCAAGATTTGACCGCAGAAAGACACGTGACGCTCGAGCTGAAGCTGGACGTTTGTACAATTACACTAAAAGAACTTTTACTGGATAAAAAACTCTCAATCAGACAGAAGGCGTGCAGTAGATTGTATGCGACAGGTTTAACAGCAAAGTTTGATCATGTTGATCATTTAGAGGCGCATCCAGTAGACTTTATAGGGTTAAAGCAGTAAGAGGCTGGTTGCACTTATGTTTTGCAGTCACCTGCACTGTCCCCTCAAACTGCGGTTCCTGGAGTGTCCACCAGATCTCACGGGAAATGAGGAGTATGTGGATGAAGCAGACGTGTTCTTCTCCAACCCTCTTCACTGGCTCAGAACGTCCTTCCCATCTCAGTCCAAGCTGCCTTCACATATAGTGCTGTTCGACTGCCTGGAGAAGGTAACAGATCCAAAACAATGAAGTGCAGTCACATCACATCACTAAATGTTTACTGTTTGCAAAAATGATATATGCACACTAAAGTTCAATACTTACTTTTAGAGGTTTGATCAGATACCGAGTTTGTTTCTTTCTCTTTCAGGAGATTTCATCATTCCTGGAGGAAAACCGATTTGCCAAAAAAGCTGAAATATTCCACACTCATTTTCCTGAAGGTCGCGTGGGACGGAACATATTAATATACACGAGAGGATCTGAACTGAAGACTAAATAAAGTTTAATTTTTTGAAGCTGTACAACTGATCTCAAACTTATCTAAAGAGTTTTGGTTTGTTACACTGTCTTTTTCATTTTTCCAGTGTAAGATCCCGATCTTTTTCAGCTCAAAGCAGGAGGACAATCATCAGTGAAGCAGTGAAAGACTTTTATTCTAGACTTTAAGTGCAACATTAAGCAGTTTAAGTGCATTTGTGTTCAATTACATTAGAGCTGTTTCCAAACAAGGAATGTAATTTAGCCGATAGCCACACAGACAAGAAAAAGAGGGAAAAATAGTGCACTAACAAGTGCAGATTGAAAGTAAATCTTAAATCATACCTTCTACTGATTTGCATGTTCCAAGAAAACTGGTACAGCAGAAACCGGTCAAACCAGATTACTTAAGTTATTTTTATAATGTTTTCCTTATTCTTCCAAATCTACTGAACTTACTGAAATAATTTCAATATAATGCATTTTGATTGGTTATTTGGTCCTAAGCAAAATTAAACATACGTTTGTTTCAGTTTTTTGTTTAGAAACATTAATAATTAATTAAAATGCAACAAAACAAAGTGCTTTTTTTTTTTTTTGGTAAGTAATCCAAATCAAAATAATTTGCACATTTGTTATAATAATTTCCAGTTCTTTTTGCATAAATTCAGGGAATGGGGAACATAAATGTGCCTTTAAAAAAATACCTATAATTAATTCTAATCTGCTAAAAAGTGCAGTTTGGATGCACCGTAGTGCAGAAAGAAAAACACTAGAAATTCAACCAGCATTAGAACATTTACACTGTGCAAAAAAAATCAGAGAAAAGGTGAAACCAAAGCTTTCTTGAACCCTCTCCAGGACAAAACAAACAAATTAGGAGCAATATTAAGAAGAACTGAAATGTTTCTTCTAATATTTGGGATCGAAGGGCATGGGACCCAGCTCTATTTTGACATCTGTGAACTGTCGGTTGGGGTCGCGTCCTGATTGGCTCCATTTCTTGGCTCTCTGAGGACGAGGACGAGGCTGATGCTGCTTCTTCTGCTGCCGCTGACAGTGACGCCACGCCTTGCCCTTCGACCCCGGCCCTTTGAAGGGTCGACTGCAAATTTACAAACAGGACATTGTTTAGGGTTTACCACAAAGCCTCATGCGTGGTTGACTCGTGCGTGTGTGCATGCAGACTCTACTGTTTCTCAGACCTACAGACAGAGAAGCAACAGAAACCAACAGGGTTATGAACAAGCAACCTGTGTGCACTAAAGTGATAACAGACAACAAGAAATCACCCGTTACTGACCAATCCTAGCTCAGCAAACGCTCACATTCGCCATGTTATCAGACAAGCTTTTGCATTTTAATGGAAATTCTATGACTATATACTATAAATCTACTCCGTATGAAGTTTTTTTTTTTATTATTAGTTTTGAACATCATTTTACAGAAATTATCTATTTATCAATTACACTTATAATAGTGACACAGTATTTATTTTCCAAATTATTTTGATCAAATGTAATACTTATATTTGTTGTATTTTTCAAATGTTAAACTTATATTCAAAATGTTATCAGACAAGCTTTTACATGTTAATATAAGTATATATGTCCATATATAAGTCTATATTAGGGTTGTGACGGTGAGGTTCGTTGGGGTTTTCCCTCTTTTCCTCACTTTCCTTGCCCGTGCGCATTTTACTTAAACTTTCAAATTTGCATCAATTGTGCATCAATTGCTTGAATGGATACAACAAAACGGTACAACGACAAACTCACTTATATTAAACATATAATAGAACTTTTGTTAACAAACTGAATAAAAATACACCATGCTATAGGCCTAATATAAAATAAATAACTTACACAAAGTTTAAATATATATATATATATATTTAAAAAAAAAATAAACAGAGAATGTTTATTAGCCAAAACGAGTAAGAAAGCTTACACCTTGATGTAAAATAAAATAAATAAATTACACAAAGTTTTAATACAGTAAAAATCAGCAAAAACTGTGGAACCAAATACATAATAATCGAATGTTATTAAAAAAAACTTACAAAATCACCTTAGATAAACGGCAAAAGTCAACAGGTTTTCCCTCTTTTCCTCACTTTCCTTCGCTTTAAAATAGCTTATAAATGCCTGTGCGCATTTTACTTTCACTTTCGAATTAGTGTCAATTCGGTGTCAATTGCTTGAATGGATACAACAATACAGAACAACGACAACTCACTTATATTAAACATAGAACTTTTGTTAACAAACCGAATAGAAATCCACCATGCTATAGGCCTAATATAAAATAAATAACTTACACAAAGTTTAAATATATATATATATATTTAAAAAAAAAATAAATTTGGCTGTTTATTAGCCAAAACGAGTAAGAAAGCTTACACCTTGATGTAAAATAAAATAAATAAATTACACAAAGTTTTAATACAGTAAAAATCAGCAAAAACTGTGGAACCAAATACATAATAATCGAATGTTATTAAAAAAAACTTACAAAATCACCTTAGATAAACGGCAAAAGTCAACAGCCTTTTCAAAATCCAAAATATTGCCAAACAACTGGAAATCCGCTTTTGCATTTCGTTTAGAAAATAAATCTTAATCTTTAATTGTAGTGTCTGTTCTCTAACTGAACTAAATTATTACTATAAAAAAATCAAAATGACAGTGGGAGGCAGTCTATATGAATGATTTGTGTGTTTTAATTGTCTAAATCTTAAAAAAATAAAAATAAAAAAATAAATAAAATAGCCTAAATCTTTAAAATACAATAAATGTTCTCTTATAATAGTGGCACAAGGTATTCATAGAGGACACAAATGGTATTTATTTCCAAAATACTTTTTTAAAATATTTAAATGTTATTATAATGTTATGTTGTTATAATTAACAAAAACCACAACTATTTAAAATCATTTTTAAATAAAGCTGAAATAAAATAAAATATAAATATTAGATGAAGCTAAACTTAAAAAGCTTAAAAATGAGAAATTTTGCCTTAGCAACTAACTGAAATAAAGTAATTTTAAGTTGAAGAATTACAATTACTAAAAATAAAAATGAAATAGAAATATAAAATAGAATTATATTTAATTTAATTTTAAAAAATGAAATAGAAAAGTTAAATAGAAATGACAAAAGCACAAAATTACTTAAAATTAAAATTAAAACAGAAAATATAAAAATAAATGCTAATTCAAAATGTTAATAAATACTTTAATACTATGTAAAAAAAAAACAAATAAATTAACACTAAAAATAAATAAGTAGTTCTACTTAATTTAATTTACATGTGGATTCAGATCATTTAAGTGTTGATAATTATTAAAGTTGCCATAGGGAATGTGTTGTAGATAGGGTTACAAAGCAGAAAAAAAAATCCCGGAAAGTTTCCAAAATTTCTGGAACGTTTTGGAAACTTTCCGGAAATGTTCCGCCTTTTTACAACCCTAGTTGAAGAAACGTTAAAAACACATTACTGCATAATTTAACAATGTCTTTAATAAAAAACATATTAAGCAGGCAACAGTAAATGAGGGGCGGAGCTTAATTAAGGATCAATTCCAGATAAATAAAATACAGTCATATGCAAATTATGCTGAGTTAGATTATAATTTCACTAGCTGGATCTCTGAATAAGATTATTTTGATACCACAAAACAGCTTACCTCGGCCCAAAATATTTTAGATACGTATCTCCAAATATGTGGCGGTATATGTAGTCGTCCAGATCCTCAAACACGTCGTCGCTGAGGCTGTGATATTCGTCTATTTCCTCGAGGTAATCCTCAACGCCGCTGACAAAGTCCGTAAACAGCATCTGGTCGTGGATGAAGACGCCGTTATGGAAGAAATTATCGATGAAGCTCTCCAGCTCCCTCCAGTGGTGGAAATGTCCGACTTCTTTCTGCAAATAGCTGCGCAGGAGCTCGTTAAACTCATCGGCGCGGATGGGATCCATGGCCTTGTTAAACAGACTCATGGACTCCTGATAGGCGCAGTCGAACACTCCAGAACAGCCTTTGGGCGGCGTTTTCTGTCCCATGGTGCTGTGGTCTCTCTGAGCGCCGGGTTTGCGCGTGTTGCGATCGGCGTGAACGGAGTCGCTGGTTGATTTGCGAGGATGTCGGTGTAAAGGTTTCTGCGGCTGCCAGTCTTCGGCGCGCTTGTTTCCTTGCTCCTGCTTAAACGTGTGATGCTCTGGTTTGGCGTCGTGAAACCTCTTTTCATGGCTGAAGACATTCGAGGCCGAGTCTTTAAAATGCCTGAACGTCGATTTAACGGAGTCGGAAAACTTCCGGAGGTTTTCCTTAACCGCCTCTTTGGCTTTCTTGATCTGCTCCTTGTGATGGTGCACAAACTCCTTAGTGGAGTTCTTCACAGCGTCTAAGGTTTCCTTCACCTTTCCCAGCATCCCATCCTTGGGAATCTTGGTCTTGACGTCCCTGTCACCCTTCGCTCTCTCCTCCTTCGACTCCACGTACAGTCTCTCCCAAAGATCGGAGCGCTGCTGCTCGAACTTCAGCTTGTTCTCGAGCTCCTGAAGTCGCGCCTGCAGTTCTTCGGTCTCGGGATCCGTCTTGCCCTCGACGTCCTCCTCTTGTCTTATTTCCTCCAGTTCCTCCTTGAGCTTGTCGGTCACCTTGCGCTCTTTATCGAGCTCTTTCCGCAGCACCTGAGCTTCGGCCATCAGCGCTTCCCTTTGGCTCATGAAGCTGCGCACTTTCTGTTTCTCCTCCTGTAAGTGGCCCTTCAGTCGCTGGTTTTCGGACATGATGGAGTCGGCCCCGGCCCCTCTCTCCTCCAGCTCTCGTATCTGTCCCCGCAGGGACCGCAGCTGCTCCTTCAGGGCCGACAGAGACGCTTCTTCTCGCTCCAGAGTGCTTTTAAGATGCTGGTTCTCCGTGGTCAGGTCGTTCTGCCGAGACTCCATTTGGCTTTTGGTTTGCGTCAGTTGCACGTATAAATCTTGTCTTTGGGCCTGTGTTTTCAAACAGGAAGCCGAACTGTTAATGTGGCCAGTTCCCATGAATTTTAAAGCATTTACTTTATGTTTGAACGCAGAAGTAAGATATTTTTTTTATGTGTGAGACTTCCAATTCATTAGCTTTAGGTAAATGACTAAAAGCATATTATCATGAAAATAACACGATAAAGCAGCATAACGTACTGTTTGTGTAAAAAGTAAAGTTACTGTTAAGTAAAATAACTAGAAGCGAATGACACCAGAAGTCTTGCATATTCACGTTGCACCTGCTCTTATATTAAAAATAAGGTAGATACAACCAGCAGGGTTAATCAACCATAAAACATTTTTTTTTTACATTTTGTTACTTTAAATAAAATAAATGTATTTGACTTCAGCCAGTGTTATTTTAATATAATTGAGATAGTATTATAGTTTTTATATTTTGAATTAGTTTTTGTATTTTGTCAATTTTTGCGTGCTTTTGTCATTGTTATTACATATTGCTTTTTTTTAAATGTCTATATAGTTGTTATTAATTTTTATTTTAGTTTTAGTAATTTTAGAACATCAAGTTAAACTAAATGAAAATGAGAAAAGGTATTTTATATTTTGTTTTAAGTTAATTTTTATTTTATTTAAACTAACAAAAATGTTTTTTTTATGGTTTTAGTTTTGGTTAACTATGATAACCCTGATTTCAACTAGTTGTCAAAGCAACCCGTTTTCTTGATGTACTAAAATAACTAAAACTGAAATAAAATCAGTGACTAATTAAAACCACAAAACACTACAAAATTACTAAAAATATAACTAAAACAAAAAAAAATCGGAAAATCGGAAAATACAAAAATAAAAAACATATATATATAAATCAATTCATGAACCCCCGTTTGGGAAGCCTGTGATAAATGATGTCACTTCCTGAAGGATGAGTATTTAAAGTATGTTTTTTTCTTGAAAGCAGTCAGCAGTTACACTTTTTGAGGAAATCGATCTACAAATGGCTTAACTATTATAGTATCTCAATGATACTAGAACAACACTGACAACCAGTAAAAATTGGTGAATTTTGTTGCAGCCATACTTTGCTTTCCCCCAAAACACGAGAGATTTTGAGAGGAAACAATAATGCATCCAGGTTACCTGTAACTCTTCCTGTTTGACTCTGAGATGCTGGTTTTCTTTAGTTATCTTATCCATGACGTTCATGAGGGACATCACCATGTCTTGCTTTTCCTCTAGGTCTTCCCTGAGATTCTCAACCGCTTCCTAAACGCATGGAGACTGACGTGAGAATGACGCCCAGGAAAAGCTACTCTACTGTTCAAAGTCTAGAGTCGGTAAGATTTTTTAAATGTTTGTTAAAGTCTCTTCTGCTCACCAAGGCTGCATTTATTTGATAAAAAATGCAGTAAAAATGGTGAAATATTATTAGATTTTAAAATGACTGTTTTCTATGTGAATATTTTGTAAAATGTAATTTATTCCTGTGATGCAAAGCTGAATTTTCAACCTCATTACAGCCAATAGAAAGTTCAAAAGAACAGCATTTATTTGAAATAGAAATCTTTTGTAACTTTACAAAGGTCTTTACTGTCACTTTTGATCAAGTTAATGCATCCATGCTGAATAAAAGTATAAACTGCTTCAGAAATAATGAAAATCATATATAATGCTTATCTGAAACTACATAAAACTAGTTAAGATTTATAAAAAAAATAATAATTAGGAATAACAGACATACATTAGACTGAGCCAGGGAATGTAAAAAAGCCCAATAACGACAATACAGCAAAAGTGATTTAAATGCATTAGTGGAAAAATGAACGAGTACAAAAGTAAGACAAAGGACACTAAATCTCAGCATCTAAAGCTGAATCTGAGAGGAAATTATCAGCAGAAAAGCTACAGGACAATGAAAGCTGAAACAAAGTTCACCAATGAGAATGACAGGAGAAACCAGAAAACACAGAGAGCTATTTCCAGAAGACTGGATTCAAACTTTAGTTGAATGCTCATATTATCCCTCTCTGGTATAAAACAAGTGCTTGAATCTGAGTAATAAAGCTTTTCTATCAGCAGTAAAGCTCAGTGAGCGGATTGTGACAGACGGACCTTACTTACAACATCCAGCTCTCTCTTACACGGCGCTTCCAGCTCATTCACGCGACTCTTTTCTACAATCCTCTGCCTCTCCTGAATCTGGACTGTGCCTGGAATACACACAGACACACACACACACAGACACAGACACACACAGACACACACAGACATACATACACAGACACAGACACAGACACACACACACACACACACACACACACACACACACACGGGTTCAGTAAGGAAAATCACAATCTTGAAGATACTCCTCAAGTTCCACTTTAGATAATTTAATCCCGTATAATGCATTTAAAATCTGTATACAATTTTTGCATTCCAGGTCCGATTGGACCCCGAAGAATCATTGCTTAATAAAACAGTCATAACTTAATATTTTAACTAAAACCATACTGCAACTTCTCATTAATGAGTGGATGTGAAAAAATTCAAAGTTTTGAATGTTACCATGTTTTTACTGCCTTTAATTTTAAAATTAAAGAAATGCTTTGAAATTTAAAATTACATATGAACCAAACCAAAAAAACTATGAAGCAAAATATATAAATATTTTTTTCAATATTTATGAGAAATCTTATTTGAATATATCAGCGTATGACATTTTTAAGAACATATAAACTGAGATTTGCCCGTATTAACCCATTGGACTGAATGGAAATGAATTGAATTTAACTGAATTTTAAAAAATTGAATTGAATTTAAAAAAAAAAAAAAACTAAAAAAAAATGTTTCTCTGAAAAGTTTTTGACCAAAATAAATTCATATTAATTGCATAATCTTTCACTTTCAGATGGAAAAAAATAAATTTTTCATGCTGAAATGGTTGGTCAAGGTGTACATATTCATGTTTATCAGCAAAATTCAGTCCCAAAAGCGTGTGAGATATGGGGAAAAGGCAAAATTTATTTTACAAAAGTTTTTGGCATCAATTTAATAGAATTTTGGTGTTTTTGACATCTAATAGCACTCCATACCTGCAAAAATGATCCCAAAAAAATCTTAAGTGGTTATATTTCTTAAAAGATAAAAAAAATAATAAAAATAATAAAAAAAACGCTCACCGTAGAAGTGTCCGAAGCCCATGCTGATGGCGATGAGCAGCGCTAGCAGGATGCATTTGTTCAGGGTGCTGCTGACGGGACCCTGATCCTGACGAGCAGCGAGGCCATCCGGATAGACTGCTACCCCCTCAACAGCCTGATGTAGAATCACACATGCAGAATTTCAGAACATGCACAATTAAATGTTGGTGCTGAGATAGCTGACTAACATAAATGAGCTTGTGTGGAAAATGCAAGAATGATTTAAGAAAACCTTGGCTAATGTGTTGCATCAAATATGTCCAACGTTTCCAGCCAAAGTATTTTTATTTTTTATTCAATATTTCTAATTTTGAATTTATATTTATTGGTATCATTATTATATCTTTGAATAAAAATGTTATCTATTTACATTAAAAACAGTGCAGTACACTAAATTATTTGTAAGTCATTTCAATAAATAACCATGAGTAAAACCATAAACCATAAATACAATGTTTGTAATTTGAAATAAAATAAACTTTAAATTAAATAAAATTAAATAAAATTAAATAAAATTATATATATAATAAAAAAAAAAAAATAATTAAAAAATTACAAATTCAACTAAAACTACACTAAAAACTAAAATTACAATTAAAACAAAAAAAATTACTGAAAAAAAACATATGTTTATATTAGGATTGTTTTTCAAGTGAAAGCATGTTAATGAATTTATATCTTTCATGTAGTAACAACATTATTAGTTGCAAATTAAAACACCTAAAGTATTATGTTAAAGTAAAATGTTAAAAAAAGAATAATAAAATAAAAACTATTATTAATTGTATTGTGCTCATATCTGATATATATCTGATCTGTATTGAGTAAATGCTGGAGTGATGAGTTGTTTTGAGACGCAGCACCTCCTCCTGTCTCCTGTGGGGCTCCTGCGGGTCTCCAGGCTCTGAGCCGGCGGTGCTCCTCCTCACTCTGCGTCTCCTCACCACAGGACTGGCCTTCACCTCACCCTCCTCATCCTCACTGCTGCTGTTACCGCCGTCTCGCTGCACAGGCTGATCCGCTGGGAACACTGAGTACGGATAAACACACACAACCCAGAGGAATTAATACACACACACACACAGTCACACACATACACATACATGGTGCTGACGTCCCATTGACGTCTGTTGTTCTCAAATGAAGCGAATTATAATTACCACTGGGAAGTGTGAAATAAATAAACAGCAGTAAATAACAATAGCAATAAATAAATTGCCAAAAGTAAATAAATAGCAATAAATACTCAGCAATAGATAAATAAATAGCAATCAATAAACAAGCAAATAAATAAATAAATACATACATAGAAATAAGTAAATACATAATTAAACGGCAATAAGCAAGTAAGTAAATAAATAGCAATAACAATAAGTAAATAAATAAATAAATGTCAACAAGTAAGCAAATAAATAAATAGCAATATGTACATGACTGGAAAAATAAATAGCAATAAGTAAACTAAAATAAATAAATAATAAAAAACAAAAATAGGATTAATAAAAATAAACAGCAGTAATAAATTAATAATAAATTAATAAAATTAATTCTAAATTAAAAATGAATAAAATGAATAAAATAGAGAGCAATAAGTAAATAATTAAAAAGAAATAAGTTAATAAAATGAATAAATAGCAATATGTGAATGAATGAATGAATGAATGAATGAATAGCAGTAGATAAACAGACAGATACATGAGATTTTGAGACATTATTTAGTCCCTTACCAGACTTCTCAAAGGACCTGCAATGAAGGTTATGTGAGGTTTTACTTTTACTTTTTGGGGAACAAATAGCAAAACCTGCACACACACTCACTTTCTGACAAACGTCATGTGCAAAGATGTTTCCTGTAACTCATGTCTGCTCACTCACGGCAAACACATGCTCGCAAAACACATTTCACATGCCACGATGCAGACCTGTTTACGCTAGCGTAACGAGCTAATCGACTAGACCAGCACATGACTGCTCCAAAAACGCAGCTGCAGGCCTAATGCTTTGTGAATGTCTGCTTTGTATTCTCTGTTAAGCTACTGTGTCAGCGTTAAGGGAAATACTTAACGGAAACACACCTGAAGGAACCAAGATCCTACAAACACTGATGAATATCAAATAAGTTAAAAAAAAAGTATATTTTAAGATGAAAACAGCTGAAAACTAGAAAAGTTCTGTGGGATTTTTTTCACAGGTTTTATTGTCCAGCAGGTGAAAAAGGTGAAAAATCAACCAATATTCAGAAAGTTCCCCAGCTCAAATTTTTGATTTTGATATTTTATTTTTATTTTTTTTCTGAAGAAGCCAACAAATTTTAATGTCGCATATGTATATTTACTGAGTTATCCACTATTTTGTAGAGGTTTGGAGATTTGGAGCCAAATTACATGGGGGTAAAAATGACTTTAGAAAGATTGCAGCATAATTATGTTATTTTTCCACAGAGATTGGTTGATCTATTTGTAAAATCTGTTGAGTTTAGCAATCTTTGTTGCATTATATGCCAACGGTGACAGTTCCAAAATGGGAAAAGGTACCTTTCAAGTTTTTTTTCCCAGAGTTTGCATGTCTGTAACTCAAGAAGTATTAAAGATATCTTAATGCCGTTTTAGATTTTGGGTCTTAAGTTAAGAGTATTAATAGCATACTTTTCTTTCGGTATCTTCATTCTTCCCTGTATGGTTCAATTCCAGAGATATTGGGATCTCAATATGGTTGCAAGAGTAAACTGTTAAAATTGTACACATTTTTAGTGGCCAAAAACTAAATGTGAAAATGGGTCAAATTCAACAATTTGGACTTCTGAGTCACATTGATATCCCCAAACATCTGGGATTGAATCATTTAGGGCCTTAAAAATGAAGATTACAAAAGAAAAGTTTATTAAGAATTAAAATCTAAAAGGATATTAAGATACCTTTAATACTTCTTGAGTTACAGGCACGCAAACTTTGGAAAAAGGTTATTTTTGGCACTCAGGCAGGTATGTTCTATGCAACTATTTTGATAGAGGAAAACAAGATACATTTCTAGTTTCTACATTATTTGTTCTTCAGACATTCCTCTTTAAAAGAAAAAAGTATCAGCCGCATGCAAAGTGACCCACATTTGGTCTTTGACCACTGAATATGTGTACAATTTAACAATTTACTCAAGGAGCCACACTGAAATCCCTATATCTTTGGAAATGAAGCATATAGGGCCTCAAAAATTAAGATACCAAAAGAAAACTGTTAAGAACTGAAATATAAAAGGATATTTAGATATCTTTAATACTTCTTGTGTTACAGGCATGCAAACAAAAACACAAGACATGCTTTCTCCCATTTTTGAACTGAGTTGAGACAGAATGACCCAACACTAATAGCTCACAGTCTAGTCGAGATATGGATTTACGACACATTTAATAGCATGCCGAAATGTAGGTCAAACAAACACATTAATGTGGCTTTTTCGCACACTTTACACGTGTTATTTACTCTCACAGCCATTGGCTGGGTGTTTCATCAGAATCTATTTTTGCCACATCACTCACAAACACGCTCACGGTCTTCAGAGCTTTATCAGCATGCTGATCACAACACGCTCACACTCCCATGTCAGAGCACCTGAGAGAGAGAGAGAGCTGTGCAGATGGCTGCCATATTCCCACAGCGTCCTGGAAAATCCCCATCTGCTCCAACACCAGTCTGCTGCCGCTCCGGGAGAGAGACCAACATGTCTTTGTGTCTTATAAGGGCGAATGTCATGAAAACTCATAAAAACGTGTGGGTCATATTCAACCGCAAAATCAAACGAAATTATATTTTGCATTAAATTTAAGCATTATATTATCATCATCACTATTATTAAGAATTATTAAAAAATGCATGGAAGCTTGTTTTTCGCCATGGAATAAAAAATAAGAGAGAGAGAGCTGTGCAGATGGCTGCCATATTCCCACAGCGTCCTGGAAAATCCCCATCTGCTCCAACACCAGTCTGCTGCCGCTCCGGGAGAGAGACCAACATGTCTTTGTGTCTTATAAGGGCGAATGTCATGAAAACTCATAAAAACGTGTGGGTCATATTCAACCACAAAATCAAACGAAATTATATTTTGCATTAAATTTAAGCATTATATTATTATCATCATCACTATTATTAAGAATTATTAAAAAATGCATGGAAGCTTGTTTTTCGCCATGGAATAAAAAATAAAAAAGGTAATTGCAACTTTTTATCTCACAATTCTGACTTTCTGAAAATTGCGAGATTGGAACACATATTGGAAGAAAAGTCTGAATTGAGACTATTTTATATCTCACAATTCTGACTTATCTTCTCAGAATTATGAGTTTACATCTTGCAATTCTGACAATTTTTTTGAGAACTTAGAGATATAAATCATAATTGTGAGATATAAACTCACAAAACTGAGAAAAAAAGTCTGAATTGTGAGATAAAAACATGTAATTGTGAGGAAAGTCTGAATTTTGAGATCAAAAAGTCGCAATTACCTTTTTTTATTTTAAATGCCTTGGTGGAAATGAGCTTGACTATTTTCTCAATTGCGAGTTTATATCTCACAATTCAGACTTTTCTTCTTAGAATTACAAGTTTGCGAAATCTTGCAACTCGTAATTGCAAGGAAAAAAGTCTGAAATTTAAGACATAAGTCACAGTTACAGTTTTTTTTTTTTTTATTCAATGGCAGAAACAATCTGAACTTTTTTCTCGCAATTGGAAGTTTATATCGCACAATTCAGTCTTTTCTTCTCAGAATTGCGAATTTATATCTACATATAATTGTGAGTTTGTATCTTGCAATATCTCGTAAAAAGTCAGAATTGCAAAAAAAAAAAAAGAATCACAATTACCTGTTTTTACTATTATTCTATGATGGAAATAAGCTTCTATCCACCTTATTTATCAAGTAAGCTGTTTTCTGTGAATGTGCGAGACTTCCGGTGGAAATAACGAGAAGAATAACAACGTGCAGTAAACGGTAAAACTGTTTGTGCTACAAACCAGTGTATTCATAATTAAGATAATACATTAAAATAATATGGTAAGACACACCAGTTTGCAATATCAAGCAGCGAAGCGAGCTGTTTTTTTACAGTTAGAAATAGCTGGAAGTGGATAGAAATGAGTTTCTTTATGCAAAAATATTAACATTTAAGCATTACATGTCATTTCTGAAATATGACCCAAACATTTCTTTATGAGATGAATCCATAAAATGAAAAACACGGACACAATGGGACGATCAACACACCGGGAATTTCAGGGCATATTTCTAGGAAATTCTGAAACTTTCCCACCACGGCACCACCCTTTTTCAAGCAGCTTGGGAATTCACCCAGTATTTTCAGGATAACGGCAAATGACAGATGGATGACAGATGTCAGAGGTCACATATGTATAAAAAAAAATTCAAGTTCACCTGGAAAGCTCCTCTTTCCAACTTCGGAAACTTTGGAAATTGTAATTACGATGCATTGTGCAATTTCATATTTCTTTTTTTCTTTTTCACTTATTGACAAATACAGGAAGCTTGGTACAACAAAATGAAGAGCAAATGATGTACATTTGAAATGTGCTATTGATGCATATTTAATCTTTCTTGCACTACCAAAGAGAATCATGGGAAGTGTAGTTTTGCCACACAAGCTTGATATTTTATGCTAAAAATTGTGATATTTGATTTAGATTTGGACAAAAATTGTATTATTATTATATTATTAATTGCTAAATAAAAATATTAAACCAAATAAGAAATATTAATATTGTAATATTTCACCATTAAGACAACAGATCATAAGCTGCTTATATAGATCATAAGTCTTGTTGTAATTTTGGGTTTTATTTCAGTTAATCATGCAGCCTTAGTTTTGCATGCTCAATCGCTATCTTTCTCAACAGTAAATAAATCGAGTACAAACCAAACTCTACCGTCAACATTCTCAATTAAAACTCAACTGTGATCAACACCAATCATCTTCCAACATGATTCTTTTCTTTAATTAATCTTTAATTCCACTGCTAATTAGGACATTCATTTGCATGTAAGCATCTTTTCCACTCACTTGTCTCTGACTCTCTAAACGTGTACTGGCTGCTCGACGAGCTTCCGAGATAGAGCTCCTCACTTCCTGCTTCCTCCTCCGCCTCCTTAGCAACAGGCTCCTCCCACGCGTCAATCTCCGCCTCCTGAGAGTCCGCCAGGGTGATGATGTCAGAGTTCTCACTGGAGGAGCAAAGGGTCACATGTTCTTCTCCACCCGCCTGCAAGAAAACACAAATGGCACTTCTTTAAGCCTTTAAATTCCTCTCTGCAGAACAATAACACTCGACAGGAGGTAATTTTCAGGCTTAATCACACCTCTTGGGCCGGTTCTGCCTCCTCTCTCAGTGTGAGGTCTAGTGAAGACTCTCCCAAACTCTCCTCACCCTGCTTGTCTGAAAAAACAAGCTCAAATATTTCAAACTTGTTTGACCACTCTGGATTTACACATTCATCCTTTCCCTCTTGTGTGCTGATGACACACATGATAAACCACACATTAATACTGCATTCTACATCAGCTGTAATCATTAAATTCATGCCACAAAACCTGCCCTCTCAAACGACATGAATAGTTTTGTGTTTATTCATTTTACGTGACACAATGCGTGACATCCTCACCATCAGGTACGTCCAGACTAACCAGGCTAACCGCTCCATCCTCACACTCCCCGGCATAATCCGGCCCCAGATTTTCAATATCCGAACCCTATAAAACACACAAACACACACACACACACACAGTCACTATGGCTTAACTTTAAAAGTATGTGTGTGTGTGTGTGTGTGTATGCATACAGTATATATCATTTATAAATGTTTGTATTTTTTTTTTATATAATTTTTTATTAAAAAATGTCATATTTCAATCCAAAATAAAAAAAAGAGTATCAATTAAAAATGTGCAAATGTGCTTCATTGTCATGAAAATAATGTATAATTTACATATACATGTATAGAATGTATAATTTACATTACATTATATATATACATTACACATCATTTATATATATATATATATATATATATATATATATATATAATCAAGTTACAATTTACATCATTTATAAGTGTTTGTATATATATATATTTTTTAAATCATTAAATTATTGTGAGTTAATCTCACAATCATATTTCAAAATATTTAAACCCAAAAATAAAAAACAGTATCTAATGAGTATCAATCAATCAAAAATATGGAAATGTGCTTTATTGTCATAAAAATAATGCCAAATTGAGAAGAAGAAAAAAAGGTCCTAAAAATAGGCTTAATTTTCTTTACGCAAAATATAATTGATTATTTCTATTTTTAGATTTAGCAGTAAAATATGACCTAGATGTGTTCTTCACCCAGCAGAGGATTGTACAAGAATAACTCCCAAAAAGCATTTATACTGAGATTAGAAGTAAACCCGATGGGTAACGATCCAAGCAATAAAACATGAATCACCTCATTACTAATGACTGTCCATCCACAGGACGACTCCGTGTCACTGGAGCTGTCGGACATCTCTCAGCCAGCTACAGGACAAAAATAACCACAACAGAAACATGGACTGTTACTCCCGAGGGAAAAAACACACACATTCGGCTATGCAAAGTTTGCAAACTGCATTATTTCAAGTCTCATCTTATGTTGTTGTCCTCTGTAATGAATGCTCATTTATGGTATGGAAATGTCAGGTTGACCCTGTCACTGGGAAATGATTATTCTGCTTTTGCAGAAGCCGTACGAACAGAGGTCTCCATAAACAAGAAGAATTACAGACACAATAAAGAAACTTCTCATATAGATCTGACAGTAACACTGAAATCTGATGCATTCTGCTTCTAACTTTTTTAAACCCAGAAAACATTGCATTCAATATGCAAGAGCTCATGAAAAGTCTGTCACAGCACGCAGGTTTGGAAAGGCGTGAGGAAGTAAATAATGTCAGAGCTTTCATTTCGAGGTGAACCAAGATCTGAGTCAAAACTATCATCTGGTTGTTTCACTGGTTTGTTTTTCAGGAAGAGCTAGCAAAAATAACACACTCTGGTTTGTTAACCATCCAAAAAAGCAGAAGAACAGAGCCATTGCACACATATAACATCATCCAAACAAAACCACTGAACACGGAAACGCTTTAACAGATCTTAATGAGTGCAAAAGCATCTGATTCATGATATTTAGGTGCTTGTTAGTGTTATAGATCAGAAGCTTTCAAACTGACCACAAAGGAGTGCTGGAGGGTTCATGGAAATTTGTAATAAATAAATAAATAAAATAGGGTCCATGGAAATATGTAAAAATAAATAAATACATAAATAAATAAAATCTAACTAAATTTGATATAAATAAATAAATAAAAGAGGGTCCATAGAAATATGTAAAATAAATAATTTAATTAGTTCATTCATTAAATCTAAATTTTATTTAAATAAATAAAAAGAGGGTCCATGGAAATATGTAAAAATAAATAAATACATCAAATCTAACTAGATTTGATTTAAATAAATAAAAGAGGGTCCATAGAAACATGTAAAATAAATAATTTAATTAATTAATTAATTAAATCTAACTAAATTTGATTTAAATAAATAAATAAAAAGATTAAATCTAACTAAATTTAATTTACATAAATAAATAAAAAGAGGGTCCATAGAAACATGTAAAATAAATAATTAAATTAATTAATTAATTAAATCTAACTAAATTTGATTTAAATAAATAAATAAAAAGATTAAATCTAACTAAATTTGAATTAAATAAATAAATAAATTTAATCTAACTACATTTGATTTAAATAAATAAATGGCTAAAAATTAAATAAATAAAATGTTATTTAATACATCTCACAGTACAGTGCTATAGTGAGTAGAAAATTTTAATTACATGACATAACAGAAACTAAATATTTTCAAATAATATTTTACACTTATTTATAATTATATAATATATTTTTCACAGTATTAATTGAGTCTTTATTCATGAAAATATATAGCTGCCTTTTACATTTTAGGATGGGGGTCCCTGGGACGAGGATGATCATATTTAGGGGTCTGTAACATCTACAAAATACATAGATTTATGGATGATGCAAAAATAACTGTTCTTTGATTCTGTTATACGACAATATGGTTTATGCAAAAACAGAGAGCTACATAAACACGACAACTGTTGAGCGATTATTATTGCAGAATACGTCTTATTTCATCTTATTCAGGCAAATAAAATCGAGGCAGGAGATTCCCATAACCTACAATTAGATTTATAACGCCCAAAACACAACATTTGATTCATTACGTGAACTGAACTGTTGTAAAATGCCAAACACTGACTCTAACAATCACACAGTAAAATATTAATGAGTCTCTTTAGTCTGTCAGTCCTGCTAAAGATGGCTTTAAACTGCATTAGGTGCATTGTATGTTGCCCTTACCTGTTTTAGAGGTAAACTGCAGCGAAAGAAAAGAAGAAGGCAAACGTCCTCTGTGTAAATCTACCATTCGTCACGTCACGCCTCTCCAACTGAGCCAAAACATCAACAGTGCGCTACACGAACAACAACACGGCGGCGGCGGCTGCCGAGAGGAAGATGCATGGGAGTTGTAGTTTTACACGTCATCATCCCCTCGTTGCTGCCTTAACATTCTAAAACTCTGAAGACTACATTTCCCATGATTCCCTCTAGCGGCGGCACAGGCTAACGCATCCTGTGAGTGACTCAGAATTTTTGAAGCGTCTCTGTTTGTGTGGCTGCTGATTTGTTTAATCTGTTTAACAGCGATTCCGACGTTTAAATTTAATTTCCGGACAAATCTAGTCGATCGTAGGTTGAAATGATCGTTTTGTGTGCTTTTTTTTGTTTATGCGCAAGCGCAGTTGACGTCCCCGGTCATTGCCATAGAGACGTTCTTACAACACAACTCGCCGATTATATTGATCTTTTTCATTGTTATCTAATATTGCAATTGCGCTAAAACAATTTGAATAAATTATAAATAATGCCTAAAATATTACAATTTAGTAAATAACATAATTAAAAATAAAAGGGTTAAGGGTTAAATACAATAAAAAAGGGTTACATACATTTGCAGAGTTAAAAGTGGACAGTTTACAGAAAACCTGTGTGAAAATGTACAAAAAAAAAAGATTTTTAATAAAATAAAATTGAGATTAAATTAACTATATATCTAACTTAGCCTGATTAATAAATAAATCCAATTTGGTTTGAATAAATACTAAATAAACAATATTTGATTAAAACAAATACATTAAAAAAATCAATTAAAATATACTTAAAATAATAAATGCATTTATTAAAATACATACATAAAATGTGATTTAAATAAATAAATAATACTTCTAACTGTACAGTATACAGTTATTATACAATTTATTGCACAAAAAAAAAAAGAGTTAAAAGAAGTAAACCTGAGTTAAATTCCTTTGCATATCCAAATTATAAATAGTAACGTTTATAAATAAATAAATAATAGAGGGACCATTTCAGAGTTTTATAGGGTTATATTATCTGTATTTATATTACTAAAGGGAATTACATTCATTATATTCTTAAAATCATATTTTTTATATAAAAAAGTAGTGGTCAATGAAATGTTTTGAGTTCCTAAAAGGATTACACAATAATTCTTTAGTCCACCCTTTATCTCCTTTCAGGCTGCAGTCATAATGTCAAATCCTGAGCATCGGGCTCCATGTGCTAACCCTGGAAACCCAGTTTTCTCCTGCATGATCAAACCAGGATCTCACGCGTCGCCTGAAGATCCAGCGCTGGCCAGATCTCAGAACCTGATGTATGAGACGACATCCGGCGACTACGGCGCTCGATCACCCACGTTTGAGTCCTCGCCCTGTTCCTATCACCCCATATCCCAGACCTTCTCACAGCACCTTGGATTGTGCGGGATGTTCCAGGACAATTCCTTTAATACCAGCTTGGACCACCGCTATGTGTATATCCCAAATGACAAAACACAGTTTAAGGGACACTGACCAAACACATTTGCATCTCTTATTTGAGTAACTTCTATTGATCGTTCACTCAGGACAGGTCTTGTTTTGTTGTTATTGTAATTGATCTTTTTAACCTTGATGTCCAGTATTGTGTATGTTTGATGGATATGTCACTTGAAACTGGCAGTACCAGATGTAACAACCTTATCAAATAAAATATATGCTTCATGTGTAAACAGAATATGTCGAAAAGGACCTTTTAATGTCCTATTGAAATCAGCTCACCCAAAAATGAAAATTTGCTGAAAATGTGCTCACCCTCAGGGATCCAAGATTAGGATGAGTTTGTTTCTTCATCAGATTTGGAGAAATGTAGCATTGCATCACTTGCTCAGCAGTGAATGGGTGCCGTCAGAATGAGAGTCCAAACAGCTGATAAAAACATCACAATAATCCACACCACTCCAGTCCAGCAGTTCACATCTGGAGAAGACAAAAGCTGCGTGTTTGTAAGTAGCATCTGACGGCACCCATTCACTGCAGAGGATCAATCGGATCTATGAAGAAACAAGCTCAACTACATCTTGGATGGCCTGAGGGTGAGTACATTTTCAGCAAATTTTCGTTTTTGGGGTATCAATGAACGTAAAGTTGATTTGTCCTCTGGACATCTTTACTTGAGGATTCAGGATGAGGGAAAGCAGCATGAAATTATGCTATGGCTTGTCCAATAGTAGCTTCTAGAGGTGAACATTTAATGTGGATTTGCAGTCAAACTGGCAGGTTTGAGCTGGTTTAAGTTGGTCCTAAGCAACTAGCTCCTGCTCAGGACCAGCTAATAACCAACTCAAGACCAGCTCAAACCAGCTGCCATGCTTCAAACATACCTAACCAGCACGTGCTGGGGGGTTTTCAACAGGGGGGGCGTGACAATTTAGTGACAGGCATTGCAGCAGCTCTCTATCATCGCATATCTTTTACAGGAAGTCACAGGACATCGTATGCAAAAAGTACGTTTTTAAGCATACCTAGTCCAGTATCATATTTAAAATAAAGCTTCTTTATTGGCATCTGGTTTTATGAAGAACATTTAAAGGGGTGATTCGACACTGACAAGATGGAGTTTTAATACATGTTGCAGTAGAAACGCGATGTTTTTTTTTTTTGTTTTGTTAAATCTCCGCTACACGACTAGAGAAAACAAATAGGGCTGTGGCGAAAAGAATTAGGAAAACTTCAACACCCATAATGCACTGGGTTCGATCGGGCTATCCGCGAGTGGAGATATAAAAATGCGGAAGTTCGATCTGTAGTTTTCACAAGAGCCCTGGTGATGTCTAACAGGTAACATACAAAAATAATACACGTAATATTCACAGACACCGTAACAATATAAAGCTGTTTCGAAACCTTTCAGTGCACAACGGGCTCTTTTAGTGGAAAAATGTTCTTAGATTATAAAATGTTCGGTAACACTTTACAATAATTTGTTAACTATATTTAATGCATTAACTAACAATGAGCAAAACATTTGTTACAGTATTTATTAATCTTTGTTAACGTTACTTAATAGAAAAACAGCTGTTCATTGTTAGTCCATGTTAGCTCAGATCGATTAACTAACATTAATAGATACAATTCGTTTTTATTTTAATAATGTATAAGTAAATATTGGAATCGACATTAACTAAGATTAATACATGCTTTAGAAGTATTTTACATTGTTAGTTTATGTTAACCAGTGTTTGGGGGTAACGCATTACAAGTAACGCGAGTTATGTAATCAGATTACTTTTTTCAAGTAACGATTAAAGTAACGCATTACTTTTTAATTTACAAGAGAATATCGGAGTTACCTTTTCAAATAAGTAACGCAAGTTACTTTTTTTCCCCCATTTATTGATTGACAGCTCTCCTGTCCCCATGTTGAGAGAAGTCAGATGTTACTAGTTCAAAATAAATATGAATATGCATTAATTCATCTCACTCACACAAAAAAAAACACAGATTCAGTATTCCTCAAAATGAATAAAAATAATGCAACTCAGAATATGACGCAAACCTGCAATAATTAAATGTTAAACAACACAAATATGCTTTATGTATTTAATCCCATTCTATTAACCAATGTCTTTGCTTCTGACCTTCGATGATCCAGTTCAACCGTACTAATAAGCACAAATTACTCTAGACAAACATTTGTGTGTCTTTTTTTTATTGTTGAAGTGTGTTGAAATTTCTTCTTCTGCATTCTACTGTACGGATGTAAATTTACTTTCCATTCAGCCTGAGGCTTATTCATTTCACTTTTGGTGTGAAAAGGCTTTTATATTTGCCAAAAATATAAATTTTTTATTTTAAAAGCAAACAAGCAAGCCCTGTCCAGATTTAAAAAGTAACGTAACACATTACTTTCCATAAAAAGTAACCAAGTAACGTAATTTGTTACTTTTTTTATGGAGTAACGCAATATTGTAATGCATTACTTTTAAAAGTAACTTTCCCCAACACTGATGTTAACTAAAGGAACCTTATTGTAAAGTGTTACCAAATGTTCTTCACACTATACTCTCAAAAACTAAGGTTCTTTATTGGCATCTATGGTTCCATAAAGAATCTTTAACATCTACAGAACCTTGGATAAAACCCAAAATGTTTCTTCTGTTGCATCACTGCAAAACCCCCCTTCTGGAACCTTTATTTTGAAGAGTGTATGATTACATCCACAATGATTTGACTGAGCATAATATCACCCATATGAAGAGTTTATATTTATGCATCTAAATGTATTTAGTGTTTGTCAATTTAACATTTGACAACTGACTTAGAGTAACACTGATGCAAACTGTTTAAGAGTACGCTCATTTTAATTTCTGTTTTTTCAACAGATGTCAAGTTGGGGGAACCTGGATGAAGTGGGTGAAGAGTGGTGGGACAATGCATATAAGTTGCTTCTTGAAAGTGAACCAATAAGAACGACTTATTGAGCGAGGAGAATGGAGTGGGGTGACTGGAAGAAGCTACGTCTGGCATCTTCTGAACCTAAGGATCTAGACGGCAGAGACAGGAGACTTATAAACTCCATAGTAGGAGTCCATAGTAACGATCACTTCTATTCATCATTAACTCAAGATCAAGGTCTTGTTTTGCTTTTATCTGCAGATATATAAGGCAGTTGATGTATGTCCAGTATTGTGATTCTGGCTGCAATAAACATCCATTCAAAAAGGCAAATGTTGTTTTATTGGGAAGATGAATACTGTTAAAAAGAGTATGAACAAAACATTTCTCCAGCTTAACCGGTCTTTAAGTGTGGTTTCACATTAGGAACGTGTTAAAAACATAACATGTTCATGTGTGCTCATGTACATTCATGCATCAATTACAGGTGCAGCCATGATCCTAGCTTTTCAGGAGCTAGATGCGTCATGTGGTGCCTTGTATGATCTCACGAATCTTGTCTGTATCAGCTCGCAGGGCTGCGTTGTGTGGGTCGATTTCTAGAGCCGCCTGGTAGTCCTGAAGACCTAAAAAAAACATCATACTGATGTTGTGAACTACTTCCTGTATTTCAGGAAGTTACAAGGAGAGCCAGAGTTGTGTGCCATACAGAAATCAAATGACAATGTCTTTCAAATTCCTATTTGTGACCCTGGACCACAAAACCAGTCATAAGGGTCAAGTTTTCGAAACATCATCTGAAAGCTGAATAAATAAGCTTTCCATTGATGTATGGTTTGTTAGGATAGGACAATATTTGGCCGAGATACAACTATTTGAAAATCTGGAATCTGAGTGTGCAAAAAAATCTAAATATTGAGAAAATCATCTTTAAAGTTGTTCAAATGAAGTTCTTAGCAATGCATATTACTAATCAAAAATTAAGTTTTGATATATTTACAGTACAAAATATCTTCATGGAACATGATCTTTACATAATATCCTAATGATTTTTGGCATAAAAGAGAAATCAATCATTTTGACCCATACAATGTATTTTTGGCTATTGCTACAAATATACCCCAGCGACTTAAGACTGTTTTTGTGCTCCAGGGTCACAATTAAATCCCGAAATCGAGCAACAAGAATTTATTAAAATTTCACTTTTAGATTGTGAAAAATGATCGAAGAACCCAGAATGCTCTAATTTGCAGCTGTCGATGTCAATATTTATGTTTTATTAAAAAAAAAAAAAAAAAAAAAAGATTTCTGTTCATTGATCTTTGACCAGCATAAATATACTGTGCATTCTGCATTTCATAACAGAGGCCAATTCGATTGAAATGCCAACTCATGACTGGAAACCCATTTTTAAATTAACTTTTTTTTCCTACCCTAAAGAGAATATCAGGTATTTTTATTGTAGAGATGATAGTGATTTCAGTGCACAGATTTCACCCACACTATTTACATACAGATAACTGTGCATTTATATGACTGCAGAGGTTGATGTGTTTTGCATGGAAATAGAATATAACCCTGTACCTTCCACATAGAGCTGGAGCTCACAGAATGCTGTTCCGCGCCTCACTTGAGCCTTCAGTCGGGCCGGAGCGTTTGCAGCGACCGCAGGCGTCAGTAACTCAAAGGCCTGTGGGAAAGTTAATGTGAGTTAATGTGAAGGAATCAGTGTGCTATATATGTAAAGTACCTCCACATGTCATTTATTATGATTATAGGCGTTGACAGCGGCCTGGTAGTTTCCTGCCATGAACAATTTACTGCAGAAAAAGGGAAAAAAGGTGATTTGATGTTTAATACGGTCTTTAAAAATATTTTACACTTGCTTTTATATTTTGTTATATAATGCATTCAGACATTTGTAAATGTGACCAGTGTACAAATACTGTAGAGGGGCTACTGTATGATGTTTTTTTTTTTTTTTTATTAATGCTTTTATTCAGCAAGGATGCATTAAATTGATTAACCAATGGCAGTAAAGACATTTATAGTTACAAAATATTTCTATTTCACATAAATGCTGTTCTTTTCAACTTTCTATTCATCAGAAATCAAAAAAATAAATGCATCACAGTTTCCACAAAAATATGAAGCAGCTGATAGTAATCAGAAATGTTTCTAATAATCAGCATATTAGAATGATTTCTGAAGATCACGTGACACTGAAGACTGGAGTAATGATGCTGAAAATACAGCTTTGATCACAGGAATAAATTACAGTTTACTATATATTAAAATACAAAACAATTATTTTAAATTGTAATAATATTTCACAGTTTTTACTGTATTTTGATCAAATAAATGCAGTCTTGGTGAGCAGAAGAGACTTCTTTCAAAAACATTGAAAAATCTTACCAAGCCCAAACTTCTGAACACTGTACATATAAAACACTACAAAATGTCAGCAAATAAACTGGTGGAAGACGATTATATGCTTTCTCCAAAAGAATGACTGTTTGTTCTTGCATAGTTCTCGCTGAGCGTGACCTGTGAAACTCACTCGCCCTTCTCTTTCAGCCAGTCTGGGTTTCTCTCTTCCTCTCTCAGGATCTGTGCCCACTGCTCTCCTGGCCTCCGCCTGCTTCTTCAGCCACTGCTCACACAAATACACAGACACGATATGTCTATGATCTTTAACATTACACACCGATTTAGTGGCAGATCTGACCTCTTCCTCCTCCGGGACGCGAGACTCTCTCAGCGCGGTGGGAAACACTCGTGGAGTGAAGCTGATCTTAATGCAGCCAGCTGATCTGGGAGCAGGCAGATCTTTTGCTTTCTGTTTCTTGCTTATCTGACCTAGCGAGAAAATATGGGAGCTTGTTTAAAACGGCCTATTTTATATTTCGACTGCTGCTTTATGGTACTTCAGAAACAAGAAGCGAGCATCATGACAGTGCCTGAGAAGAACAGGAGCAGAGAATTAAACCGTGTTTACCAGAAGCAGTGTTGCCAGTATTACGCAATAACGTGAGTGCAGGTGTAGCATTTGCACGCTCTGTTCTCTGATAAACCAGTTGGTTGTTGTGTGTGCCCGTTCCCCGCAGGTTTGTCTGGTTCTCATTTTCTTCTGCTGTTTCTCTCTGCGTTTCTCTTCGTCCTTCATCTTCTGAATCCTGTCCCGCTCCTCATTCTCAAGCTAAACACAGGCAGAGAATTCAACAGTAAGCTGATGTTTGAGACAACAATTAAATAAATCATTCTGCATGTATAGAAATCAGAGAAATCATTCTGCATGTATAGCAAAAATTGTCAAGTGCATTGATTCAAAAACAGTAGTTTAAGAATAAAGTATACAAAATCAATTCATACATTCTGGAAGTATTTGTTGCACTGTTTTTAATTTATACAAATTTAATTAAAATAAATATAACACTGTTTTTGACTACACTCTTAAAAATAAAGGTGCTTCATGATGCCATAGAAGAACCTTTTTGTCTAAATGGTTCCATAAAGAACCTTTAACATCTGAAGAACCTTTCTGTTTCCCAAAAGGTTCTTTGTGGCGAAATAAGGTTCTTCAGATTACAAAAACGCAAGAGATGGTTCTTTACAGAACCTTTGACTGAATGGTTCTTTGTGGAACCAAAAATGGTTCTTCTATGGCATTGCTTGAAGAACCTTTTGAAGCACCTTTATTTTTAAGAGTGTAGATTATTCTCATTACTGCACTATAGTTATGGGAATTTAATGGGAGTCATCATTATGGGTAAATAAATATGCATGAAAACAAAGCTTAATTTTCTTTATGCAAAACATAATTTCTTATATTTTGCATAAAGATAAAGGTAAAACACCAGACAATGGAAAAGGCCATGTCCATTCTGACTCAGAGAGTGAAAGCACATTTTAGACCTTCATCATGGTTTCCAGCGCATAGTTTTTCTCTTGTTGAATCCTGGCAGCTTTGGCTTTAGACTTTTCTGCTTCTTTCTCCTGAACTTTGAGAATTGCTTGTTCTCAAATCTGCTTCTGTTTGTCTTTGAAATAAAAATATACAAAGGTTTTTAATAGCTATATATGTCACAAATGCAACATCTTGGGTATATTTCTATGCTGTGAAAGAATGAAAGATCTCCTAACTTACCGATGTTTGTGAAGAGCTGCTCCCACAGTTCATCTCTCGTCTTCTGCAGAGTGAAAACTGCAACACCGTCTCCAATCCTGGCTTCACTTTTCGCCTCATTTATTGGCCCAAATAAGAAAACCTCAACTTACTTCATCATAAAATACAATAAAATAGAATAGAATAAAAAAAAAAAAAAAGGAAAAAAACTATTAAAATTGAATAAAATAACTATTAAAATTGAATTAAAAATAATAAAGTTAAATACATTTGCATATCCAAATAAACAGTAAAATTTATTTCAAAAATACATTATAATAAAATAACAATAGAGAGAACATTTATTAGAAGCGTTTAGTATGGTTATATTATCTGTATTTATAAGTGCTGCTTAATATTAGAATAGAATAGTTTTTTTATATATATATATATATACACATACATACATATACATACATACAGTGGGTACGGAAAGTATTCAGACCCCCTTAAATTTTTCACTCTGTTATATTGCAGCCATTTGCTAAAATCATTTAAGTTAATTTTTTTTCCTCATTAATGTACACACAGCACCCCACATTGACAGAAAAACACAGAATCGTTGACATTTTTGCAGATTTATTAAAAAATAAAAACTGAAATATCACATGGTCCTAAGTATTCAGACCCTTTGCTCAGTATTTAGTAGAAGCACCCTTTTGATCTAATACAGCCATGAGTCTTTTTGGGAGACTCAAACAAGTTTTTCACACCTGGATTTGGGGATTCTCTGCCATTCCTCCTTGCAGATCCTCTCCAGTTCTGTCAGGTTGGATGGTAAACGTTGGTGGACAGCCATTTTTAGGTCTCTCCAGAGATGCTCAATTGGGTTTAAGTCAGGGCTCTGGCTGGGCCATTCAAGAACAGTCACAGAGTTGTTGTGAAGCCACTCCTTCGTTATTTTAGCTGTGTGCTTAGGGTCATTGTCTTGTTGGAAGGTAAACCTTCGGCCCAGTCTGAGGTCCTGAGCACTCTGGAGAAGGTTTTCGTCCAGGATATCCCTGTACTTGGCCGCATTCATCTTTCCCTCGATTGCAACCAGTCGTCCTGTCCCTGCAGCTGAAAAGAAAAATTTAAGGGGGTCTGAATACTTTCCGTACCCACTGTATATATATATATATATGTTATATTACTACTGGGAATAGCATTATCATCAAAAAAGAGATCTTTATAAATAAATAATTTGGTGGGAACATTGCAATGTACAATTATCTATGTGTGTCAAATAGTGGTTTAGAATTAATGTTATATTCAGACGTCAATACGTTTTTGTGGATAATGATTTGTTGTTGTGAGAGATGTTAACAACAATCCAGAGCTGTGCAACACTTCAGTACAAATAAATGACACTGCATAGAGAAAAATTTCTTTTTAAAATCAGTTTTATTAAATGCAGTTCGAAGTGAGACTGAAGGAGTTGAATAATACATTTGAATTATGGCTTTGCCGAGGTTTCTCTATCAAACAAGACATGAGAAATATGAGTTACAACACACAAGACAACCTTAATTTACATTCAGTAAACTGTATGTGCTGTACCAGCTTGGTTTTGAGGATGCCACTAATGTATTCACTTCATATTCTTTGTGATTTACACTTTATGGGCTCCGTACATTCATTGTCCTGTTATAAAATTAGTTGCACAAGTATTCTCACCTCATATTGATAAGTGTGTAAATGATTGACTGCACAATGCCCTCAGCTCAGGATCCAAATATCATATTTCAAAAATAAAAACACTTGTAAGGCACCAGGGGTCAACAGTCAAATGTGGCCAATTATACAATAATTGTTCCTACAGACACATTATCACTAACATGAACATTGTCATGAATTTGTCATAACTATTTTTTTTTTTATAAATCGTAGGGAAACACACTATGATTGTTTACATGATCTTGCTTAACAAATGAAATCAGATCAGCGTGTTTTGCGATTGGCACTGTTATATAACGGTGAGTAAATGCTCAAGAGTACTCAACGCAACGACGTCTTCAGAGTAAAACATGTGGAAACATCTGGAAAATCAAACGGCAGAGAGCAAGACATGAAGTTTACATTCACGACGCCACAATGTTTCGCAGCTCAGTGGAAGAAAACATTCTCTGAGGAGCAACACACACAAAACAATGGAGAACGTAACATCACAAGAGCAAATCCAAACTGAATCAACATGAATGCAGCTGGATTTGACAAATTTTCTAAATGAAAAAAAAAAATTTTTTTTTTTTTTAATTTAAGTAAAGCATTTGAGATGATGTTCAAAAATATGTTCAGGTACTGCATCCAGAATTTTTTTTTGTAATAATTATCATTATTCTCAATGGTGATTCTCATTATACATTCATTTTTAATTAATTAAAATTAATTCTCTCTTTTTTTTTTTTTTTTTTAATAAAAGCAATATTTATTTATTTTCCTTTAGAGTGAATGATGCACTTTTTTTTTTTTGATTTTGTGAGATTCACCCATGAACATTGAGTTATAAAATTAATTAATTTTAGGCAATAAATGGTTAAAAGGGCTGATGCACAGAGTATTTTTAACTCTATAAATATATTTGTTGTGCTCTTTCAGGCGTCATGCCCAGAAATAAGGCCTTCAAGTAACAAACCTCCTCAATCTCGGCCAAAAAAAATAAAACTCAAATCAACCCAGTAAAGAAAGCTGTCATACAACAAAACTTACAAAAGTATCAAGTGCATCCAAAGTTTCAACTTGTTCTCTGGCTCTTTTAAATTCAAGATTTTCACTTAATTTGATCATAAAACAATCCATGAGTAATGAGAAGGAACAAAATGCAATACAGCACATCCAGGAATATTGCTCACTAAGACTAAACGACATGCTGCTGGTATCCTCAACAGTTACACAAGACACATGATGATGATACTCATCAGAAAGTATGCTACAGTAAATATTCTACAGCTACATTCAATAGGAAAGGCCCAGTCATGTGAACTATTAAATGATCAGCATCTACAAAACACTCTCAGCTCATATCAATCGAATGTCTGTAAAGGTTTCAGAGCAGTTTTTATAGCTAATTTGAAAGATTGAACACCGTCCTGGCTAAAGAAAATGAAGAGCTTTTGTTTTTGTGTTACTCTGAAACCTGGATACTGTCTGTTAGAGTTACAGCTGTAATGTAAGAATTAATTAATAAAAACCATTATCAGTAGAATCACAGATATTAAGTGACTGCGGTTTCATAGATCGATCAAGGCGAACCAAAGGAAGATCTACACAAGGAATAATTCACCCAAAAACAAATACACTACCGTTCACAAGTTTGGGGACAGTAAGATTTTTTTTTCTTTTGAAAGAAATTGATATTTGTATTCAGCAAAGATGCATTAAATTGATCAAAAGTGACGCTAAAGATGTTTATAATGTAACAAAAGATTTCTATTTCAAATAAATGTTGCTCTTTTTAACCTTTTATTCATCAAACAATCCTGAAAAATAAAACCTATCACCGTTTCCACAAAAATAGGAAGCAGCACGACTGTTTTCAACATTAATAATAATCAGAAATGTTTTTTGAGCAGCAAATCAGCATATTAGAATGATTTCTGAAGATCATGTGACACTGAAGACTGGAGTAATGATGCTGAAAATTCAGCTTTGATCACAGAAATAAATTAAATTTTACAATACATTAACTTAGAAAATAGTTATTTTAAATTACAATAATATTCCACTGTTTTTACTGCATTTTCGATCAAATAAATGCAGCGTTGGTGAGCAGAAGAGACTTAAAAAATGTAAAAATCTTACCGACTCCAAACTTCTCAAAAGTAGTGTGCATTCAAAAAATGATTTCTAATCACTTACTCACCCTGACGTTGTTCCAAACCCCTAAAGGCTTTCTCCTTTCTCTGACTCACTGAAAAAAAGTAAATACATTTTCAACACTATAAAAGCATTCTGGGTGAGTCGAAACAAAAGGAGCCGGCAAAACTTTGGAACTCAATCAAAGTAGGGACTTTGACTTCAGTGACTCTCACTGTCGGTCACGCTCATGATTGTCCGTCGCCGGGACCGGAATCTCTCTCTCGTGTTTTGAGCAGCTGCGCTCCTTTGTCCTCCATGCAAGCATCACAACCCCAAACCGCAGACGTCTCGGCTGTTAGCAGATTGTACGCCGTCTCGGTCATTCCAGTGCAAACTCTGTGGAACCACTTCTGACACGAGGCCTCGCACAGAATGGCCTCTTGGTCATCGTTCACCTCGCTCAGGCATATGCCGCATGGGTAGACCGGCTCGGACGAGGAGGACGTGCTCCTTCTGTTCAGAGCTTTATTATTGGTCAAAGCACCGTTATTGCCTGCGGGTCGTGGCGACTTCTTTAAGGCTTCGTTGTTGCCGTGAAGGACGCCGTTGAGTTTTTCCGCTCCGCTCTTTGTCTTCAGCTCTGTTGCGTCGTCCTGAGTCTTGTTTTCTTCACAGTTCTGGTTTTGCGTGGTGCTTTTGTTCATGGCTTCACTCGGGACCTGTTTAGGCGTTGGCGTGCTGGACTGCGTGAAGTTATTCTGTTGATTCGGGCTCAAATCCCGGGCTGGATTTCCCTCTGGACTGAAAACCAGACCACCTGGACTAGCGATTTGGTTCAGATTTTGAAGACTGATGTGCTCTCCTGGATTTGGTCTGAAGTGCATGACGCTGTTGCCGCCGCCGCTAAACAGCTTCCCGTAATTTGGGTTTTCCGGGTGGCCATAGTTAAATCCCGGTGCCCGGCTGTAGCCCATGGGATTCTGGGAAAAGAGATGAGGCTGGATTCGCATCTGGTAGGGAGCCCCGTATGGAGAAGGCATCCTGGACAAAATACTGGGCGGCCCATAGCCGCTAAACACTGGGTAATGTGAGTGGCCAAAATAAGGGCTGGCAGGAGGAAGTGCCTTCAGGGACGGCGAGTTGTAATTGTCATCGAAAGGATTGGAGGCTATTAGGTGATCCGCGCTCGGGTTTGGAGGAGGCGCATATTCAGACAGAGGAGAAAAGGATGGCGCCTGTCGAGAAAGAGAGTTATTTTCACTAGGCCTGTCACGATAACAACTTTTTGTTGTGCGATATATTTAAACAAGACCATATCTGCAGATGAAACTTGTTTTTTTTTTGTAGAAGCATTTTTTAAATTTGAACTAGCACCAACTACACCACGTTATGTACGAGAAGCTGCAAAAGACACAGGCGCAAGTGGAATGTACAAAACATGGTGACATTAATTTTTAAGTAAATATAATGGGCGATATATTGCGTCACCAAAAATTATTGAGGTCATGTACATGTATTGCGCGTTAAGTCGATATATTGATTATTGCGACAGGCCTAATTTTCACTCCTAAATGCTCATATAAAGCTCTGATGCAACATTTTCTCCATATTTAGTAATTATGTCTTTCTTTTTTCTAGATCTTCCTTCATTTTCTAAACGCATAGAAACGGAATGAAAAGCAACTTCACTGTTCAATTATTTGGGGTCGGTAAGATTTTTTACTGTTTTTGAAAGAAGTCTCTTCTGCTCACCGAGGCTGCATTTATTTGATCAGAAATACAGCAAAAACAGCGAAATATTACCGCAATTTTAAATAACTGTTTTCTATGTGAATATGTTAAAATGTAATTTATTTCTGTGATGCACAGCTGAATTTTCAGCATCATTACTCCAGTCTTCAAGATCCTTCAGAAATCATTATAATATGCTGATTTGCTGCTCAAGAAACATTTCTGATTAATATCAATGCTGAAAACAGTTCTGCTGATGCATACTTCAAAAGTAGTTTTTAATGCATTTATTTGAAATATAAATCTTTAGTAAGATTATAAATGTCTTTACTCTCACTTTTGATCAATGCATCTTCGCTAAATAAAAGTATTAATTTAAAAAATATATATTTTTACTTACCCCAAACTTTTGAACAGTAGTGTATGTATGAGTATTTTGCAATAATATGTGTTATTTTAACTTATAAGCAACAATATTTAGTTAATAGTTTATATTGTTTGTTTCTGTTGTTTCTAATTCAAATGATTTGCAATCAAATACTGTGGTTCATATTGAAATGTCTATGGAGAATATAAAAGGGGAAATATCTCTGGAACCAAAGATGCCGTGAGTTTCATACAGTACCTGTGTGCTCGACTTGCGTCTCTTTTTCTCTGGGCTTCCCAGCAGCAGCCCAGGACCGCCTAAAATATCCAGCCCACCGTCACCTCCTGGAAAATCACAAACCGAGTTCAAATTAAACTGATCATCCAAAATACCTGCGGTTGATCTGAAACGTATCATGTCTATAGCACTGACGTGTATGTACGCTCTTAATTTTAACGGCTTGAGAAACAGTTTGACGCATTTCTTACTGAAACAGGAAGATTGGGTTGGACATATAGAAGATCTTGTTTCTATTTTTAGAATAGCCAATAGAATTTAGATTGCATTACATTGTGCAATCAATCATTTGGTATATTTTCCCAAAACTGTACATTTTAAAAGTGCATATTGTTTATTTTGTCAGCTTACACTAGCATACAGATGAAAAAGCTCAAAGCTAATAGACATTAAATCTACGAACTTTAGGGTCTTAAAGAGATTTATGCTGAAACGTGCATGTTACAATCTGTATTACATGAGCAGATTACAACAATAATATACAATTCACAGTGTTTAATTAGATTATATATAGATTATAATATAATAGAATACAGTAATTGGTTGAGATTTTCAGAAAATAAGCCATAATAAACTTGGGTTATTATAGTTAGCATAACTAAAACTAAAACCAATAAAAAAAAAATCTAAATAGAAATAAAAAAATAAATATATATAGGCAAAAAAAAATTAAATGCACACAAACATAACAAAATTAAAAATGTAGCTAAAATAACGAATTTAAAATAGTAATAAAACTATAAAATGATACTAAACTAACACTTGAATGGCCACATTGAATTTGCAATTTCATTGCAAATTGCATTTGTTATATTTATACATTCATATACACAAATTTATGTTTTTTTTTTGTCTTATTCACTGTACCTTCTTTTAACTTCAACTTAGATTTTTGCTTTTTAAGGTTACATAATAAACATTTGACTCCACTTGCATGCCCTACTGAAGAGCATTTAATAAATAAGCTCTGGTATGATTTTCCAAAATCTCCAAACTTCCCAGAAACTCTGCAGAAAGTCGGGTTCATCTGACAGCATTCACTTTGAGGCCTGTCATGCTTTTCTTTTCAAATGCGTATCTGAATATGTCGCGGTCTACTTTTCTGTTCTTCACCAAAGGCCTGAAGGCCGCCAGACTGCTGCTGTCGCTCCGGTAATTACGACCGACACCGAATCAAGCCTCTAAAAACACGGAAAATCCACGTTACCTCGGTTTCGTTTTAGAGAGAATGAATCTTTATCCTGCTCTGTGGACATTACAGGCTCCCTCACATGACTCAAGGAACGGGGAAAATGGTGTAACTTTGATGTTAGAAAGAGTGATTGTAGTCAACTCGTCTCGCTGCAATCACGGCGGCGGCGCTCCGTGCGCAACCGGGAAGCGATTTCTATTAATATTCATGAGCTAAACCTTCGCAATCATCGACGTCATCTGTTTAATATTGATGAGACGAAGACCGCAACGTTCTCAGAGGTACTTAATATTAAAGAGGACGTCCTCAACCATTGGCAAGAACGTCAGCACGTCCTAATTAATATTCAAAAGCTAAGCTTTCGAGCAGGAAAGCTGCACCCGTGCGCAAAGTTTGGGAGGAGCGGACTCCTTTGACTTGTTGTTTTACGGGGCAGTTCACGGAAATGAACGACAGCTCCGCTTGTGTTTGTTCACTTGAGCGCGGCGCATTTCAACGTGGAGTGAAAAGCGGCGCGTGAGGGGGATTGTGTGACGTGTCGCGTTTGATGTTACGTGCGCCACCGACCCGCGCGATGATGAAGATGATGAAGATGATGTTATATTATTATGAAGTGCTGTCATTTTAAAAGTTTTTATTTACCTTGTGTGGCGGCAGTAATATGCGCCTGTTGCACAGGGCACAGGTGCAAAATAATGTCAGACACATTTTATTTTAATAATTTTATTTTGAAAAAAAAAATCTTTCAAACATAAAGTCAGAAATCTATCTACATCTATGTAATAAAGCCACTTTCCTTTATTTCCATTAATTTACTTTGCCTTTTATTTTTACTTTATAAAATACAATAATACTGTTTTTTTTGCAATTGTTTTACAGTAATATGCCACAAACTGTAATATGTTCATATATATTCGTATATATAATATTAATTGTGTGTGTGTGTGTATATAAAACGTAATACTAATTCTTTAAGAGAGAAGAGACAACATTTTAAAATTTTCAGCATTTTTATTTAAACTGGAAATCATTCTTTATACACAATCTATTTGTGGTGGGGGTATACCTTTTTGGCATAAACATTACACCATATTGCTGAACAGAAAAAAAACTCAATAAACACATGGTACATGTATTTGGAAAGTAAAGCAGAATACTTACAAGTTGAATTTTATTTATTAAGAAATACATTCAGTTTTTAAGGCTTATAGATACATTTACTGCTGCAGTGTGACGGAAACCAAACCATCACTGCTTTAAAAGAGTTTACAAAGATCTCCCTTATTATTATTATTCAGTTCAGACAAATTCAGAACAAACAAAACTTCAACAGAAGAATCCCAGAACAGAATTCAATTGAAAAAAAATGCGGTTTAAGCAAGTGCAGTTCACATCAGCACTGAATAAAATGACATGAATATTATTTCCTGAGTAAAATCACCTACATTAGGTGCGTGGGTAAACGTGACAAGCAGCCTGAGTTTTTATCTTACATGAACAGAGGTCATCTGTTTGATCAGCACATGCAGACGCTAAACATTTGACACTTTTTATGACGTTGCATTTCTAATGTGCAACTTTTAGCTGAAGAAAACTGCATGGAATTACACTTGCATACACAAAGAAAACCCAGATGTGAAGTTAACAATTTAACACAACAATCAATATTGTTCTAAAACACTAAAGCATATTGAAATGTACATCAAAAACATCAATCCCAGCATCAAATCTTACTGAAAACTAGCCAAAGCTGGTCTGGAGACTTTTTTAGCATGATCTTGGACACTAGTCAGGCTGGAAAACCAGCTAAGACCAGCAGCTTTTGGCTGTTTTCTTCAGCAGGAAAGCGAAACCATATTAAGTCAGTACTTTCACAAAATCTAGGGTGCATTATTAATCCCCCACAACAACAAAAAAACAATACAATAATTCCCCTCCAGTGAGAAAAGTTGTAAAAGGAAACAAAAGGCATGAAATCCATCATCTTTGGTTTGCTTGAAAGTCACAAAGGATTGAAAGCACAACGGCGTAACACTGTTTTTGGTTTCCTGATGTCCTTTCAGTAAGCAGATATCAAATCTACTCGGGAATAAAGCTTTAAAAAATGACAAAACACATGCAAAAGAATCTACATTAATGCTCTGTGCAACGGCGACCACATTCTTTGGTTTCAGGCTGTTTGCTTCAAAAAAAGAATAATTAAAAATTGATTGTGTCTCTCTGATTGAAATACTGCGAGCTATCAATTTCCCCTGATTGAGAAGAATTTCAGCCGCATGGAATGTTAATATCATATAATATCTCTCTCTGTATATAATTCTCATGTACAATAACATCCATGCTGAGCTTGAAATTCTAATGAGGGAAACTGATCACTGCGACATTTGAGGTGAATCTCATAAAGCCGATCAAGAACATTTCTGGCTAATATTTGACTCCAAAATAAACATAAATTATATTTTGCAGCTCCAAAATGACAATTAAACAATGAATTTATGATTTAAATCTACAAAATATTATATATTTTATATCATGACAATTATTTTATACCATGACAATTAAGCATGGTATTAATTTATGATATATTTTTGATTATATTTACATTTTATATCATGATGACAATTATTTTATATCATGTCAAATAAGCAATAAATGCATGATTTACATCAAAAAATATATTTTTATGACAATTAAGCAATGCATTTATGATATATTTTTAATATAATGTAATATAAAATATATTTTATATCATGACAATTATATAAAATAATGACAATTATTTTTTATCATGACAAGTGAGCAATTAATTTATGATATTACATAAAAAATATTTTGGTAATGAAATGATGGAAATGAGAATTTGGGGTCAAATGTGCTTAATTTTCATGAAAATAATGTCACAATATAAATAATCTAAATGGACTTAAAATAAGCTTTGATATGCTTTATGCAAAATTCAACTTCTTGTTTTTTTTCCTGTTGATTTTGGAGTGAAATGTGATGTATTCATGAGATTTTGTAAAGCTGGGCATCTCCACCTCATTTGGTCGCAGGAGTACTTTAAAGCAGCTCTTTTTTTCCGAAACGAACAGGCGTTCGCTGGTCTCTGGGTGAAACATCTTTGGTTTGATTCATGGATAATCTCATTGTCATCTTATCATCCCAAAGACCAGCAAACCAGAAAGAAGACATGAAAGAGCAAGCAGCTCTGCAGATGATGGTGTGTCACCGTTGCACATCGAGCTGCATGAAATACAAACAACTCCAAACTAATCTGAAAGACAAGTGCTACACTCATGATCCTAAATCTAAAATAGCATCAACTATTTCAAAGCACTAAAGTAACTAAAATGCGTACTCAGTAGTACATATTCTGTATGTGGAGAAAAATAGATATCTTTGGAGGCAAAAAGGTTTCATGATCATTCAGATTTGATTATTATTTTTGGTTTTCAGAACATTCACTCGGACTGCAATCAAATCAATCTCTCGCTCGTGTATCTGCAGCTCTTCACACGTTAAGGCCATTATTTAAAAGCTATCAGTTTTGCCGAACTAAGAAGCACCCAGCATTTTTGGTTACTTTGCACTCAAAAGAAGAAATAAACTACGGAAAAAGAAATCATTCTCCACAACAGAGGTCAAACACACACATTCAGTACGGGTCAACCGCCCGGAAAAAACCCTGTCCATCAAACCATGTCACTGTACAAAACACATGGCTTTCAAATGATCCCTGAGATAAAGAAAATCAGACATGACTACTGCTAAAAATTTAAAGGTAAAATGAGGTAGTATAAACCAGGGACTATAAGAGCAAAAATACACACATTCATACGACGAACCTGAGAAATCTAACGTGACCTGAAGTGGAGTCGCAAATAAATCATACGTGAACATCACCGAGTAAAACATTCAGCTGAAAGTTTAACGTTTATGAACCTGAGGTAGGTCAAAAATGCAATGAGCTGGGTAGCTCCCGCCCACTGTGAATTCCTATTGGTCCCAAGTCCTGCATATTAAGCAGCAACTATGTTCTGATTGGCTGTGACACAGCAGTTAACGGGTAAAACGGGTAAAAAAACCTTCTCACACTTCAGGATTAAACAAGCACACAAACTAATGCTGAAAATAACGTTGTAGAGTGTATAATGTACATTAAATACTTAGTAGATAAACTGAGGTAGATTAGGAAGTCAAGAGAGGTTTTCCATTCTCTCTCGCTGAGGTTACGTCAGAAACGTGACATTCACGTCGCACGTTTTGGCCTTTTTTTTTTTTTTAACACATTCAAGGTGGGTGAGATTCTAGTTTCTTTCAGACACACAATCTTTTATGAAAACCAACAGAAAAATACATTCACCGAGAAAGAGGGCCATGTGGACGTCTCGGGTCGTCCAGCACTGCTCAGTAGTCCGTTTAAGCAGCAGGGGGCGCCAGAGGGCATAAGCGTTTTGTGCTAAACAGGATGCGTCTCCATAATTTCCTGTTCCTGAAGTGTTGTTTCTGTCATTGGGATCATGTGGAGATGCAGCTCTTTCTCTGTAACCTCGAGGACGGGCGTTTCGGCCGACGCTTCGCTATCCTCGCCGTGCAGGGAGGCCAGGCGACTGCCGACACCCAGAGACAGGTTGGTCGCCTCGGTGTCATTGTGAGAGAAGCGTCCCGAGTCGCCCGTCTCGTGGCTGCCCTCGCTGGAATGAGAGCCCTCGCTGTCGCCCCCCGGTGGCCCAAACAGGCCCTGCAGAGAGGACGGCGGGTGTTGAGGAGAGGTTTCCGTGTAACACAGCAGGGTGGTGCCATGATGATAGGGATAAGAAGGACTGGAGACCCTCTTCACATCCTGATGGAGGCAGAAAACACCAGTAAACAGCAAAGAAAGAAAGGCTTTCTGAACTGAAGAGACCTAACATGAGCGAGTCTCACAAACCCTGTCATAAAAGCATAATGGAACAGATACAACATTTTAGTTTGCTTAAAAAAGCAGAAAACAAACAAAAAAATTAAGCCTGTTTTATTTTTGGGATTGCGACATTAAGAAAATAAAGTTAATTTCCCCCAAATTCTCATGAATGTAATGTTAAAAAACTGATGCATTATTTAAATTAATTAAAATAAGACATTATTTTTGAATAATATGTTCTTATAATTATTTCAATAACC